CCTTTATGATTACAAATCACTTGATTGACTAACTAGACATTCTCAAAGTGAATTATGAATCAGGTTCATTTTTTCTGGTTGATAGTTGGTACATGTTGTAACTCTTTCTCTTTGTGATATATCAAGTTCTTGTAACAGTAATAAGAGATATAATCAACTCTTTATTTCAGGACAAATAAATTGCCTTTTCAAAAAAAATGAAATGTGGTAGCCAACATTTTAACAGGGCAGCAATATAATTTCTGCCTGCTATTCCATGGTGGAAGCTAATGCAACGAAATAGCTGAAATTATTTGGTGAATATTATACTTTCAGTCCATACGTGGCACTGTCACAGAAGTCAGCAGAAATATTCAATACAGATGCAGAGAAATAGGTGACTCTTTTCTGTTAAAAGATTAACACAGTCCTAAAAAAAAACCTGATGCAAAAAACCCTGCTTTTTATAGGGAGGCATGTAGAAAGTCCTTGTATGTCAACATTTCTGAATGGCAATGTCAACTCTGGGAAAATGGTACATGTTAAGATACAATATTTTTTTAATGAATTGTCCTAGTATAATCAGTCTACTTATTATATAATTTATCCTATAGATGGACTATGTAGTTACAAAGAAAGATATGGAATTATAGGTATTAATGCATAAAGCATACTTTGAATATGATTTTAAAAACCTAGTATGCAAATTTTTACTTAACAGAATCATTATTATTATTGTACTTTCACAAAGTCAGAGCTGGTGTTGATTGTTGCAGCGTAGGCTATTTCATAGCAGTCCTTTATAAGTAAGGTTTATTATCAATCCATGCTTGGCTGCTATTTAGCCAATATAAAGTTACTTGGAGCAGAGAATGTATCTGACTGATCCATTTTGTGAAAATACTCCAAGAAGTTTCAGTGTAATAGCTTCATGCATTCAAGTCAATGCATCTTATATTAATACCTATCCATCATAATTTATGATTATCTGGAATGATTGCAGGTTATAATGTCAGGTAATATTGTATTTGCTCTCCAAGTACTGGGTTCCTGAAAGAGGTGAGCAATTCTACTGTTGCAAAGCAAGTAAAGGAAGGTGACACAATTGTCAGAAATTAAATTGCAGGAAGGATTGTTTTTGTGTTCTTGATAAATGAGGTGATCTTACAATTTTTGTACACCTGACCCTAAAATGCTTGCATATTTCAATCTGAATGGGGAATATGGTTTGACCTGGACTAATGACAATTGTTTGTAAGGCACTTAAAATGACAGGTGGGTCTTGCCACAAAATGGCATAATGTAAAGTGTCCCATTCTGGGTTCCAGCCAAGCGGTCAAGTTTTGCTCTCTACTAAGATGTGTTAATTTTCTTATGTTGATTTCCTAGTTCTTCCTCAATAACCATGCAACATTTTGTGGACACTGTGTGGTCAGTCACTGATGGATTGTTTTGTCCCCTGCCCTTTAACTTTTCCCCTTAAATATTGTCTTATTTATGTATTTAAAATTTAAGTGTTTTGGTTTTCTCTGAGCTGACCGAAAATCCTTTCATATAATTGGGATGTACCAGTTTTGTTATGTAAGGATGGGAAATGTAGAATGAATTTGCTACTCCTTTATATGAGAAAAGTTTTACTTCTCACATGGTACTCACAAATATTTTGTTTTCCTCTGAAAAACCTGCAAGCACAATTTGTACAATCCTCTGCAAGCAGTTATTCCTTTCTGTGAACTTTACAGGCTCTATAATCTTTAGCCTCTCGCTACTATGGACCCTGGAGATTGAAACAGACTGCAGTTGTGATCAAAACTGGAGTCCATTGGAGTTGGATGGCCAATAAATTTAAACAAATAAATAATGATAAATATCTTTTATGGGATCATTATGTAGGAAAAATTATTCCAGATCAGTTCCTTGAATTCAGAATTCAAATTACTATGTCAAGATAAAACTGTAGACTTACCCTTAGGACTTTAGGCTAGGATAACTTTATTTAAAGAAAATAGAGAATAGGAAAGATCTCAAGTGGAAGAAAAATGTCTTATTGGATCCAGATCTCCACCATAGGCATCCATTCCTAATCATGATGACACCAAAATAGCAAAACATGCATCATGAGACTTTGTCCTTTTGTACTGACATGACAATGTTGCACACAAATACGCAAAGAGCAGAGTTTGCATCAGGATATTTGTAATGCATGTTTCATCACTTGCCCCCCTTGCCCACCACCATGGATGCCTATGCAGGTTCTGGTGGATCAATACTCCAGGCCTTCCAAATCAAAACATAAAACTTCTGGAAATTTTTCCAGAAAACTTAGAATAAGTGGCTTGTTTTATCTTTTTCTAAGAATGGAAACTGGTTTGGTAAAATAACATTTGTGTAATACAACAGTATATAATGAGCTTTTATGTTGTGTTTTGTCTTCAAGAGAACTATTTTAATTATTGATTTGTTTTTTTGGCTTCACCTATTTTATTTTTAAAAGACTCAAATATAAGAGCTTCAAAGTATTTTCTCCAGGCAGCATCTATTTATAATGCAAAATTATATTCGTTTGCAGATGTAAGCTCATTGATTTCCATGGGATTTTCTCCCAAGTGAGTATACAGTCTTAGCCTTAGGGTGTGCTCTGTAAAGATCTGGTTGTAAGTCACATTAGAGTCAATGGGCCTTCCTTTTGAGCAAATGTATATAAGTTTGCCTACTATGGCTATTTCTAGCCTGTTGAACTCAGTGCATCCTATGCAACTAGCTGCGTGTCACATTGTTGTCAGTTCCTGGCATGTGGATCTCTCATATGTTTTTAAAAGTTATATTTCTTATTTTAACTACTGTACTGCCATTGTAAAATGTCGATACTGGTAATGCTAATAATGTTGTAAAGTGTATGCCTGTGTGGGCAGCAGTTACCAAAATACCTAGTTTCATAGAAGGGTCTCGCACTCAAACTGTTAATCCTAACATAAAAAGGTAGAGATGCCTTACAATTTTCTCGGTAAGTATTGCACTTTTCTAGGATTTGATTATTATTGGGTTTTTTTTACATTTCCTGTCTCCCTGGTATTCCCTCGTGGTCTTCTATCCAAACACCTACTATGAATGAAATAAACCATACAGATCAGATGGAATTTACACTAAGAAAAAACAAAAACATATTTATAATTTCATTAACTTTGCCCAGCTACATATTTTTAAACTATATAACTGTTTAGAGAGGGGAAAAAAACTCCCTATACTTTTGGAGCTATCATTTTATCAGACAAGTGAACTTTGCCAAGTATAACAAATCTCACACATTAGAATACTATTGAGAGGCTTAGATTAAAAATTGAGATCCAAGTTTCTAAGTAATTATACTTGTAAAAGCCAATCAATCAGTTGTTTAATATTTGAAAAACAAAAAAGTATCTTTGTTGCAAAAAAGTAAATCTAATGGGAAATATGTGCACAAACACTTATTTATTTTCTCAGACATGTGGAAAAAAATCAGAGTAGTGTGAAGTTACAATGCACTACTCTGTAACTAACATTGTAATTCAATGCACTGAATTACTCTGTATTCCCTTTTGGTTCTAGCCCAAAATTTGTATGAAAATTTCAGCTTCTTATAATGTTCAGAACTGAGGGGTTATAATAACATTACAAACACTACAATTCCCATTGAGTAGAACAAGACTTACTTTTGGCTCAGTCATGAATTCAGTTCAATGCTTCACAATTTTTCAATTCAATGCTTCACAATTCTCACCTTTTCCCTTTGAATAGGGAAGAAAGTATTTTTTATTTGTTTAATTATTTATTTGATTTACAAGGCTGCCTGACTCCGAAATAACTCTGGGTAGTTTACAAAATTAAAATGAAAAGAGAAAAACATATACCTAAAATGCCACACAAACCCACTCAGGCTCATAAACAGTCTACCCTAGGCCTGGGAGTAAACGGGGAAACATGGAAGTGCATGGGTGTTTGTGTTAATTTCTAAGAAGTCCCCATTTATAAAGTATTCAGTATTATTACTGCAGGCCCGTTAATGCAAAAGTCTTTGCTTCTAATTTTCTGGGTTTGCAGAGTTTTAGGCAACCTGAGAAAGCCTTAACTGTGATAAATGGTATAACTTGACAAGAATCACATATGCCTGAAGGTTCTAGAAGGTTCTTTACATTTCCAATGGCCATTTTTCGAAAATTGATGTTGTTCATTTTGGTTCTCTTTAATAAATTGTTTTATGGGAAAAGTCTTGTTAGGATAGCAAAATGGCGTGAAAATGCTTTTCTTAAGTAACGCTACTGACCTACCTTTCAAGGATTGTCATAAAGCTTACACAGAAGAAAAGTTTGAATAGCTAGAAAATGTTATTTATTTATTTATTAAATTTATATGTTGCATAAATGCAGTTTATGATTAGTTGCTAGATATAGACAGATAGAACATTATCTAGCAAATAAGAGTTGCTGTCCTCTTCTGCTGTTTTGGAAGGAATAGAAGTTTGATACTTCGCTTCCTGGGCCAAAAGAAACATAGCAAGTAGATGGAGATCATGGAAAAGTCTAAACTTCTATTGCCTGGATCACTCAAGAGGGATATAGGTTGTACTTTGAGAACTTTTGAGTGTGTGTTTTTTGTGTCTGTATATATGTATTGTATATATAGAGATCACTTATGGAAGTCGGTTAACATACAAGATGGTCTGTCTTCATTTTCAGTGTGTCACACCTTCCCTTGGCAACTGTCTTATTACACCTTTTTTGCTTGTTCTTTTGAAGTATTTCGAGTATCTCAGACTCATCTCCAATTGGCAAAACATTCATACAATATATATGTATGTTTGTATGTATGTATATATGTGTGTATTCTTGATATATTATATTTGACTGAAGGGAGCATCTAAATTCACAGATTAATGTGAATTTAAGAATAATATGTTCTTTTCCCTATAGAATTTTCCTTATTTTGTGTGATTTCTCTATCTTTCCATTCTTTTATTATACATAGCCCTGTGTTTTTTCCCACAGTATTTGGAGTGTACCTGGTATTACAAGAATCGATTCTTCCTGTGCTCAAGATTGTGGTTCTACAGAGATACAGAGGTAATATTTGCAGTAAATGAAATGAAGTCTCTCATTGTGTCTTAAACATCAGCAGCTGTTGACTTTCCTTCCAATACTATATATCTATTTTAAACTGAATGAAAACTTGATTATTGTTATTCTGATGTACAGTGAAGGATTCAATCCCACCCAGACATTTGGACTTCAGAACATGCATTGCCCATTGTGAAGCAAAATGATGATACATCCATATCTACAAATGCCTTTTTCCTGAAGATCAGTATAAATTATGTCCTTTTAGTTTTTACCTCACCTTGTTACTAGCACTAATTTTAGTACTTTACTAGTTCTATGACTTTCAAATTCAAAGGAAGAAAGTATTTGATCTGAAATTACATGATGTAGATAATTTCCCCCCAGTGGACTTCTAGTGTCATCCCGCCATCACTGAGGTGATATAAAGCCTATCTTCACCCTGCAGATGATTCAAAATCCTCTCTCTTGCTGTCTGTTGCTTGTTCTTCCTCTTTTATTTGTTGCTTGTTCTGTCATTCTTCCATGCTTGATCTACCACTCTCTTTCTTGCTCTTTCACTGCCTTGCTAGCTCATTTTCTTACTTCACATTCTTATTTGTTCTATCGCTCTCTTGTATATTCTTTTTCACTTTTTTGCATACTAACTCTTGCTCATTTTCTTACATTCTTGCTCCCTGCCTCTCTTGCAGAGAGTCCTGAAAGTCACTGGCAGCTAGACTTCCCGTTTCTCCTGCCATTCCCTCCAGTGTAGCTTGTCCTTTTCATTGTTCCTGCTGCTAGACCTGCAATCAAAAACTGTAGCACCACTTACAAACACAGGAGGGTTTGCATTGTGCCACGTATATGTATGTAAACTATACATAGTGAACTTTTTGATGGAATCATTTAACAAATAAGAAGAGAAGTCAAAATTTTATGTAGGACCAACTTTCTTCCTATTTGGAAGACTAAACTCCACAGGCAATTACCAGAGGTAAAATGTATAGATGTGTATGCTGTTACTGAAGCAGCAAATAGGATCTGGGCAGCCCCTGATCATGTCATCACCATTGTTGCTGCCAAATTGCCACAAAGCTTCTGTTGGGAGAAGATGAAAAGCACTACTTTAACATCAGATCAGATAAATATGAATTTAGGTGGTATTAGCTGTCGGCTGGGGATCATATAAAGGCACCATCATGGGAGCATGTCTCTAAAGAACAGCTTGCAAGACATGTTTGAGGAGCAATTAGGGAACATGTACTGTATATAAGCCCTATAAGGTCCTCTAAATTACTAGAGGATTCTGCAGGGAATGGATCTACTTAGTAATTCAGTATCTGTTTGGGAACTCTAGGTTTTCTACTTCTTGGCCCAAGGAGTAAAATAGAAGAAATAAAAGTGTACTAAATTAAGTAAAAAAAACTTGCTTGTCATAGAATACTGTAGTTGACAAAGAAGCACAGATTTTCATAAAAGGTAAAAAAGAGGTTTAGCAAACAGTAGCAAAACAGCAAACAGTAGACTTTGTGATATAATGAGCCATGAATGTTAAATATTATTTTTGAAAAGTTTTTCCATACAGCTCAGAATAATGTCTTTTTCTTAAGTACATGTTGAATCTACTGAACGTTGATTCATGATAATCAAAATTTTATTTCTGATATACATTGTTAAAAAAAATCAGCTACAAATTAGATCTAATAAATATACAAACAATTAGTAACTATGTCCACCAATTTAGCCTGCCACATCTGGCTGGGGATTTTAAGGTCCATAATTTTTATTTATTTAATTTATTTTATCAAATTTTGACGCCATTCAACTCCTGAATGACTCTGGGCCAAACATGTAAAACCCACAATTGACTGGAAGAACAAAACATTAGCCACAAGACAACCAGAACAAAACCAAACCAAAATAAAAGGGGCTACTATATTCCCAAGACCCGGGAAAACAGAAATCTTTTTTTTAATATAATGTTTTTATTAAAATTTTGCATAGATAAAAGCTAGTTAACAGAGAACTAAAAAAGATAAACAAAAAAGAAAAATGAGAGAAAAAGAGAAAGACAGACATACAAAAGGTGACTTCCCCCTCCCTCCAAACAAGTAGAAGCATTTACAGTAACTTAACACCTTCTCTATTATTACAACCCTCCTACTTCCCATTTGTCATCTCTTAATAATAGCCAAATTATAAAAAAAAATCATCAATCTTACACAGCAAAAGCAGTAAGAGTACCAATAATAATAACCCATATATTTTAACCTTAAATCAATCCATTATGCATTTTAACTATAACTTTCTCTAATAAGTAAAACATAAAGGATTTATCCCCATAGGCATAAAAATACCAACAATAGTAACATATATATCTTAGACTAAATCAAATAGGTACCTTTTACCTGCAAACCTATAACTTTCTCTAACAAATAGAACACAGAAAGTTAATCCCCATATGAAAAAATCTTTAAATCCTCATCATACAATCCTGGTAATAATAAAAGATTCCAACAGTAACAACCCAGAATCACAACTTATACAATTTAACT